TCTGGCATACAAATCGGTCACCGTTATCTCATGACTTTAGCTATTCACAAGCTCCCATTTAGCCAGGTCGTTTCGAGCTAGAATGCTTAGTCGCTCACTGGTCATCACGTACCCCTTTCGCCCGGTCCCTGTGAAGTCTAGTTTTACTGAGGGTTGTTTCTTCTTTTCACAGCGCTCAGACCGCCGGTACTCACAGGTTCATTGACCGGTCACGAGGGCGAACCTGTCAAGACGCTTGTATAAGTTCTTTCTTTTTATTTTTTCCACAAGCGACAGCAGAGGGCAATTTTTAATATTGATTTATTTTCAAGGCGACACAGCGTTCATAATGCATAGCCTGCATGTTACAAATGTTGCGTTATCTATCAGACTATTACCGGAAAATTTCTGGGCGGTAACGAAAGCGAAAATAGATCTTGATTCTTCCTGATCGAGCCTCGGTGTCACACATACACTTCCGCCACAGCGGTTCAATTACGTTTCCTCTTCAAGATTCTCAACCATACTATCGAGATAGCCACACATTACACAGGCCCTATCCTTTCCCGACTTACCGACCCATCACAAAATTCCCGACTTTTTCCCTACCTCCCGACCTCCCGACCCATCTCAAAATTCCCGACTTTTTCCCGATTTCCCGACCTGGTGGGGACCCGGATTATAACACCTTCTTTTCAGATTTTGGCTGGATCCAAGCAGATCGGGTCAGCGGGGCCGAAGGCCCCATCGCGTCCGATGAATGCGCGGGGATTTCGGGATTATATTACGGTTATAAATGGAAGGGATGGCTCCCTATATAGAACGTATTGGTCAAAAAAGACAAAAACGGGCGGTTTGGAGTTTCTAGACTTAAAAAATGAATTGAGCGACCCCACAAAGTCCTAAAGTGTAACTTTAACTGTTCGGGAAATTAAAATGAGAACTTGAAATGCTCGTTAAGGATTGCAAAAACATATTTACGGATTGGGTCGGAACTACTTTTTGCTCCCTAAATTTAGCTGACTTGGGAACTCTCTCCGGAACTACTTCTGGTCAAATCTGTTATTCTGTAACTGTAATAGTACCGTTAGTTAAATTAGGTCAATATTTTATGATTGTGTGAGATAGTAATTATCTGCAGTTTAACTAGCTACAATTAATCATGAAAGTTTTTTTTTTTGCATGTAATGGGTATAGAATGTTATATGCTATCAATTTGTGAAGAAAATATTCAAAGTTACATTCTTATATATGGGGAAAAACGATCATAAGAGGAGTAAATAGAAATCAATGCATGGCTTATTAAGGCTTTGTTTATGGTACCTTATTAATGATGAGAGTTACATGACGCTAAGAGGTGCAATATTTAGGACAATGACGCTAATCAACGCATGTAAATAGGGCAAGGGTATATAAAGCGTGAGTACCCACGCCAAGCTTTAGTTTCTGCATTGGTGCCAAGCTTTGGTTTCTGTATTCGTACCATGGTGTTTACTGTGTTTGACCTTCATGTTTTGATTTCTAATAAAGCTGTTTTACGGGACTGGTTGCGTTATAATAAGTTATTACTGGATTTTTCTGATTGTGTTTGTGACTGTGGTGCAAAGTACTGTGAATTTGCAGACAGTGGTTATCCAGAAGGATTTTGTTGGAGGTGTTCTAATAGAGTCTGCAGGAAGAAGTTTTCTATTAGGCTTGGATCCTGGTTTGAGGATTCCAAGTTGAGTTTTGAGACAATTTTAAAACTGACATATTTTTGGTGCAACCAGTATTCCAACAAGTTGTCTGCTAGAGAAGCTCAAGTCAGTGAAAATACAGTTGTTGACTGGTTTAACTTCTGCAGGGAAGTGTGTATTGACGTATTGCAGGAGTGCGAGTATCAGAGCATAGGAGGAGAGGGTGTATTGATGGAGATTGACGAGTCTAAATTCGGTCGGAGGAAGTACAATAGGGGTAAGCGTGTTGATGGTGTTTGGGTGTTTGGTGGGATTGAGTCGAGAGACAAAAGTAGGTGTTTTTTCAGTGTTGTGGAGAACAGGAGTGCAGACACTTTGATTCCGTTGATTCAGAAGCACATCAAGCCTGGGAGCATTATTGTTTCCGATGAATGGAAAGGATATTCAACGTTGAAGAACATTGGTTATCAACATTATACTGTGAATCACAGTAGGGAGTTCAAAAACGCGGAGACAGGCGCCCATATCAACCACATTGAGACTACTTGGAACCAACTGAAAGCTGTTAAAAAACATTCAGGTTATGCAAAAACTTTAATAAGTACGTATTTTAGTGAGTTCATTTTCAGGAGGAAATTCTTAAATGAATCAGAGGACCCTTTTTTTGTATTTATTAAAGAGGGCATCAATGCAGCGTATTCTTTGGCGCGTGCCCGTGACAAATTGAAAAAGAAACAGGAGAGAAAGAGAAAGCAGCAGGAAGAACCAGGGAATCTGTGGGAAGACCCAAAGCGGGGTAGAAGCAGCACAGCAACTGCAACCTACACGCGGGCGGAGATAGAGGCTGCTGAGACTGCTGTGTCGTCGGATTCTGAATCTGAAGCATCCCGTTCACTTTCTGTGGTTTTGTCCATGGATGAATCAGATGAGGATGCTCCTGTTTTTGATTTGGGAGTAAAAATCGATGATGATAGCAGCAGCAAGGACAGCCTAACACCTTTTTTGGACCAAATATAAATGGTAAGTCCTTCCATAAGGGGAGAACTTCCGTAACGACCACTATGAGACAGAGAAGAATTGAGGGCTACGGGTAGGGGCAGATCTAGGGGTAGGGGTAGGGGTAGGGTTAGGGGTATTGAGGGCTAGCGGTAGGGTTGGGGGTCGACCACTAGGGGTAGGGGTAAGGGTGGGGGTAGGGGTAAGGGTGGGGGTAGGGGTGTTGCT